TTACCGAACAGACCGCCTCTGAATTATCTGGTGGATTAATTATCTTGTGAACACGACGCTCACTTGCTCAAAGTAAATAAAGTACCGCCACTTTCTTTATTTCATCCACCATTAAACAGAGACCGGTGTTAGGTCGAGCCGCGTTCCCCAATCAGATGGTTCCCCCATCAGACGGTTCCCCCATCAGACGGTTCCCCCAGCGTCTGAAACAACAGAGGAGCTTCCCGACACGTCTGACCTAAAGAGCACAAGCAGCCAACAAGTGTTGGATGTGTTCTGGATGTTTAAAACGTAGCTTAAATACCTTTTATTTATTTTAACTGCATCTGCTTTTACTTATCTAATTTAAACTTATTTGCCTTCCATGGACCTCCATCACACATGTTTCTAGTGGGGAAATGACATCAATAGAAACACGTGGAGCTGGATTTTAATTTGTGTAATAAGACAAAAAAAGTCTTGTTGTTTTCAACAGTTTTCACCATAAAGAAATTAGTTAAACTGACATTACAATTCAAAGAGTTGGATGTTGTCTTGATATTTGTTAAATTTTATATATTGAGAAATATATTAAATAAAAAAAAAATGTTTATTATAGTTTTTCCAGAGTGACTTGAATTTTGCATGATTTAGTTCATTTGTTAGATTGTTAACATCTTACACTATATTTCTTTTACTTACTTTCATTCGCTTTGGTTGAGATTTTATATTGATGTTAAATCCTTTAAGCTTTTTTTGTTAAAGAATTGACTCTAGAGTGCATATTTTGTGTTCATGAAAAAACTATTAAAGAAAATATTACAGTATTAAAGAAATGTTCTTGTTAATTTGATGAAAACATTTTAAATATCCAGTGCACTCACACCAGAATAACTTATAGATTTGTTGTTAGAATAATCGATTAATCGAAAAAATAATCGTTARATTAATCGATTAGAAAATAATTGTTTGGTACAGCATTATCTGTTTGGTTATGTTTTATAGCTATAACCAAGTTTATTAATGTATAAGAAATCCAATTTTTTTTCCAGTCAGTATTTAATACAGCTGGCAAAATCAATTGTTAAAATATTTATGATGTGCTTCTGTTTTTCAATTCAGGAGATTATAAAAAAAATCCTCCATGTTGAGAAAAGTCTGGCTTTTAAGAAAATGGCTGCTAATCAATTATTGTCAATCTATAAGACAAATCAACTTCAGAATAATTCATAAATCGATAAATTGCATCC